CTATTCGTAGAACTCAACACCTTTCCTCTACTTAACCTTCTTCCACGATTGAGTGAAAGAAGATTCACCCCTTAGAGAGTCTCCAGCCATAGTAGAATCACCAGTAACACTCTCAGGAGGGAAATCCACAAGGTCAGTCTTCCCTTTATCACTGCAATTAACCTAAATATCAAGCTTAGGACCACTAACATGGATATCCAACTTATTATTATTCAAACAAGGCGGCCCCTCCTTAACCTTCCAGACTTTATTAGAAGCCTTACCAATAGGACAAACCTTGTCAGAATAGACAAACACCGTATAGTGAGAACCAGACGAGGGAAACCAAGGAACATAGACCTAATCATTATAATTGTACCATCATACAGAAGGACCACACCTACTGCAATCTCAACGCAAACCTTATCAAACTCCAACCTTTGCCTAAAAGCAGTAATGCCATCCATGTATAAGGAAGTGACTAGTGCAATAGCAATATAACTCAAACCATGTTTCGAATAAAGCTCCAATAGAACAATTGTAAAGCTAAACCCACAAAGGCACTCTAGACAGATTAAAATCTAGACTCTTCAAATTAGATTACCACTTAAGCAACAATAAGGGCTTATTATGAACATACTGGGGACCATGCTCAAGCATATAGTCCCTAACAGTTACGTTAGCAAAAGAGAAAATGTACGAATTAAATCCAGCCATACGAGCCTCCACATGCCCCAATTTCCCCCCATAATATCAATTAGTCGTTGCAAAGCATCGAAATTGAGAGGCTTATCAATGAATTGACCCACTAGGGAGAGTTTCCATTCTCGAACACCTATTACAATAAGCTCTTAAAGAGGTTTAACAGTGACCAACCCTGCTGCATCATCAAAAGGCAAAAAAAAACTCTAGGGTATGGTTATCACCAACCACTAATAGCCTTCTCCAATTTGGATCACCCACAGTCGGGGACGTCATATTGATGATTTAATTTTTAAAATCAAGATTAAACTAACATAACATGTAAATATTTTAAACTAGCTTTTTTTACTACGTCAATCTTAAGAATTGTAACATCAATTTTACGGCTGAGGATAGAAAGGATAAATTTAATAATTTTAATAATTATTTATATTTTTTATAATTAATTAAAATTATTAATACTTGACTGAAAATTAGTGCAACTTACCCTCGATATTTTCAATATTTCTTTAAAAACCTCTTTAGGTTTAAGTGTCTAGAAAAAATATTTAACGAACAATTACATTTTCAAGAAACTAATGGTTATAAAAAAGGATAAATTAAATGTTTAGTACCTAAACTATCATTTTTTTGTCTGTTTTAGTATTTAAATTTTTAGATTTTCGAAACCATAGCTAAAGTTTAATTTTTGTTTCATTTTAGTACCATCATTCAAAATTTAACGTTAATTTTTTTTAAAAAAATTGAAAGTTTAGGTACTAAAATGGACCAAAATTGATAGTTTAGGTACTAAATGCGTTAAGTTTTTAACGGTGGATAGTAAAATGAAACAAAAACTAAACATCCGTCATAATTTTAAAAAAAATAAAAATTTAGATACTAAATACAAGTTTACCCTAAAAAAATCTTCATAAAAACTGCTTAGAAGGAGAAGAAAATGTGATTGTTTTCGTTTTTTAAGTAAAATATATATTTAACCTTCAATATGTCACATTTTTCTTCCTCGTTAGTCTTACTTATTTGTCTTGCATGATGTTTTGTCTAAACAAATGAATTCTGATATTTAATACTTGTGGAGATCCCAATAAACTATTTTATAAAACAAATGAAAAGTTTGTGATCCGAATATACCATATTTCCCCCTTTAATTCAAATGCATCCCCATTGGGAATAACTATAGTTACATCATCTTTAAATTAATCAAAAGAGTTACATCATTAATCTTGGGCTAATCGACTGCCACTACTATACGACGGTAGAGAGTAGAGACGTATATTAAACCCAATCAACTAAACTTGCATATCCTAAACTGAACAAAGTTAGAAAATCATTATTTTAGACACTATTATAAAGACACCTAAACGAGAAAAGATGTATAATTTAGACACTATTTTATAATTAAACCATTATTTTATCTTTTCCTCTTCTTCGATTTTTTGAATTTGACATGGAATTCTCTCGTTTACTTGTCAGTTACAATCACCATCGCATAATCAAATAAGATTCAAAAAATCATCCTATTATTTTCCCATGGATTTTAATCTATTTACATGGAATTACCAAGGTTGTGGCGGATATAAGTTCCCGAAGCTTTTCAAGGAGTACAACTTCGATTATAAGCCGACAACTGCCCTTTTGGAGCCTCGTATTAACGGCCTCAAGACTGATAAGGTTATTACTAAACTGGGTGTCGATATGTCCTTCAGAGTGGAGGCTACTAGTTTCTCTAGGGGAATTTGGATCTTTTGGGATCATTCTATTTCTATTGAGGTAGTGGCGGTTCATCCCAAATTCATCAATTCGAAGGTTACTGGTACTTCTTTAGCTACGCCTCTTCTATTTACTATCGTTTATGGCAACCCAAAAAAAGCAAGCACAAGGCATTTCGGCATGATTTAGGAGGCACCCCTAGTTCCAACGTGCTTCCTCGGATCCTGAATGGTGATTTCAACGCACTCATTTCTGGTTCCGAAAAGGCTGGCGGGAGTCAAATAGGTTTTTATTGCAATTTGTTTTAGAATTTTGTTAATAGTTCCAACTTGGTTGATCTAGGTTCCAAAGGCCCTAGTTCACGTGGAATCGTGGGGGAGTCTATGAAAGGCTGGTGTTGGGACCGTCGACGCACCCCATGGCACAGCGGAAACAAATTGCGACGGTCTCACTAGCGATCCAAGTACGTTAAATCCGAAACCGGAAGGAAGGGATGCGATTACTTACATTGAGTTCCTTGTAAATCAACAAAGACATCATCGACTATTGATGATGACGAACGGTTCGAATAGCCTCCACGAAAAATATCTCGGCCTCTACTCAGTTCACCGGGTTTAGACCAAAATTTAACTTTTCCCAAAAACGGTTTTGAGGCTGCTAGACCTCACTTATCTTTAAATGTCCCAGTTACCCTAACATATTAAGGTTTTGTTATTTCGAATTAATTAAACTCTTTCAAATTAAATATTCATTAAAAACTTATAATTCGAATTACAGTCTTTAATGTTTATTTAAACTCTTATTTAATTATTATGAATTAAATATCCATTAAAAGAGTTGTAATTAGAATTACATTCTTTATATGTTTCCTTACTATATTCGGGATAATTAAAATCTTATGTATATAGAATATACATATATTAACTCTAGATATATATTTTAGTAACATACAATAAATTGTACTACAATCTCTATTGCTTATGAAGGTACAACAAATGATATGTTAGCATGCTAAAATAATAATGAATGTTGATGAGATCAATAAGGGCTTAAAATTAAAATAAATAATGATGAGGTATTTACACAAATCTTTCTATATAATCTAAGTTAACTTAACCGTCCAATATTTACCCTCGTTAAGGCTTCGATCGATATTGTGTGGGCTTTACCACCAAAGCATTGGCAAATAACTCTGTCTTTTTTAAATGCGAAGAATAAACAAGTGATATTCACCGGTTGAAATATTGGTAATAACTTAGATATGTTATTCTAATAGGATTAAAAACCTAGAGGTTAATGATTTTGGATGAATCATAAGATGATACGAACAAGAATTGTTCACCAAATGGAGGAGTTGCATGAGATGTAATTACTAAAGTGTTACATAAATAAGAGAGACCAAAAAAACACAACAAACCAAGAAATACAAAGAAAATCACTAAACTCTCAAAAGAAAACTAACTTTTATCTGGGTGCAAGTTAGTCCAATTAACATGCGCCTTCACAATTATGATTCACATTGATTTTTTTTAATATATATACAAATATTGATGATTTAATTTTTAAAATCAAGATTAAACTAACATAACATGTAAATATTTTAAACTAGCTTTTTTTACTACGTCAATCTAAAGAATTGTAACATCAATTTTACGGCTAAGGATAGAAAGGATAAATTTAATACTTTTAATAATTATTTATATTTTTTATAATTAATTAAAATTATTAATACTTGACTGAAAATTAGTGCAACTTACCCTCGATATTTTCAATATTTCTTTAAAAAACCTCTTTAGGTTTAAGTGTCTAGAAAAAATATTCAACGAACAATTACATTTTCAAGAAACTAATGGTTATAAAAAAAGGATAACTTACACGTTTAGTACCTAAACTATCATTTTTGGTCTGTTTTAGTATTTAAACTTTTAGATTTTCGAAACCATAGCTAAAGTTTAATTTTTGTTTCATTTTAGTACCATCATTCAAAATTTAACGTTAATATTTTTTTTTAAAATTGAAAGTTTAGGTACTAAAGTGGACCAAAATTGATAGTTTAGGTGCTAAATACGTTAAGTTTTTAACGGTGGGTAGTAAAATGAAACAAAAACTAAACATTAGTCATAATTTTAAAAAAAATTAAAACTTTAGATACTAAATACAAGTTTACCCTAAAAAAATCTTCATAAAAACTGTTTAGAAGGAGAAGAAAATGTGATTGTTTTCGTTTTTTAAGTAAAATATATATTTAACCTTCAATATGTCACATTTGTCTTCCTCGTTAGTCTTACTTATTTGTCTTGCATGATGTTTTGTCTAAACAAATGAATTCTGATATTTAATACTTGTGGAGATCCCAATATACTATTTTATAAAACAAATGAAAAGTTTGTGATCCGAATATACCATATTTCCCCCTTTAATTCAAATGCATCCCCATTGGACTATAGTTACATCATCTTTAAATTAATCAAAAGAGTTACATCATTAATCTTGGGCTAATCGACTGCCACTACTATACGACGGTAGAGAGTAGAGACGTATATTAAACCCAATCAACTAAACTTGCATATCCTAAACTGAACAAAGTTAGAAAATCATTCCAGGAAAAAATGTCAGCTGAAGAGTCTAGGACCGTCCTCGTCCAAGAAGAATCCGGCGATGCTCGGCCTCTGATCGACCGGAGTGGATTTGATTGCCGTTCTGGAATTTATAGTTCGGTCCATCAGCTTCCCGATCATCTCAAAGTTCCCACTGATCCGGACCTTGACATTGCTTCATTTGTGTTATCTCAGTTCCCTAATCCTTGTGTTGCCGAATTAAAACCCGCATTCATCGATTCAGCAACAAACCAGAAACTCACATACGCTCAACTTCATAGATCGATCCAGTCGCTTGCCGTTGGTCTTTACCGACTCGGAGTCCGGAAAGGCGACGTTGTGTTTCTTTTATCCCCTAACTCACTCTTGTACCCTACAATATGTATGTCAATATTCTCAATAGGTGCAGTACTCTCGCCTGCCAATCCAATCAATACCCCTTTGGAAATAGGTAAACAAGTACTCGACTGTGATGCAAAGCTCGTGATTTCAGCTCCGAAAGAGTTGCACAAATTCAAACGAATTCAGGTGCCTACAATTGTCACATCTCGTCCATCAAAAAACAATGATTTGATATCGATAGAAGAATTAATCGAATGTGGCGATGGAGACGAAGTACCTGAAATTAAGATTAAACAATCTGATACAGCGGCGATATTATACTCTTCAGGTACTACAGGAACAAGCAAGGGTGTCGTATTAACGCATTCGAATCTAATAGCAACGGCTAGACTTGTAAGATGGTATGCAGAAGGAACTTCTTCTCTGAACGACATATTTTTGGGGTTCATACCGATCTTCCACATATACGGGCTCGGGTTTTTCGGATTCGGACTACTTTGTTGCGGTACCACTACCGTGTTAATGCAAATATATGATTTCCAGGAAATGGTGAAAGCAATTGAGGTTCATAAAGTTAACAACATTGTTGCAGTGCCCCCAGTGGTTCTTGGCCTAGTGAAGAACTGCAAAGGCAATAGTAGGCTGTCCACGGTGAGAAGGATCGGTTCTGGAGCTGCACCCTTGAGCAAGGAAGTGATCGAAGCATTCAGATCTCAGTTTCCGTGGGTGGAGCTGAGGCAAGGGTACGGGCTAACCGAAAGCTGCGGTGCCGCAACCGCATTCGTGTTGGATGGAGCCGAGGCTCATCCCGGGTCATGCGGGGCGCTGTTTCCAACTTTAAGTGCCAAGGTGGTTGATATTGAAACAGGTTTGGCCTTGGCACCTTGCAAGGAAGGAGAGCTATGGTTAAAAGGCCCTCCAATCATGAAAGGCTACTTTAGAAACGAGGAAGCAACAAATGCAACGTTGGATAAAGATGGATGGCTTAAAACTGGGGATCTGGGTTATTTTGATGAGAATGGTTTTCTTTATATTGTTGATAGGATAAAGGAGCTTATTAAGCACAATGGGTATCAGGTAACTTTATTTGATTCTCTTAGGTATGGCTCTAATTTCGACAAGAAAGTTGCCTTTGATTATTGGTTGTTGTGGCAGGTTGCACCAGCAGAATTGGAGGCAGTGCTTTTGAGCCATCCCAATATATTGGATGCAGCAGTTATACCGTGGGTGACATTAGGGAATTACTATAGAGATGCTTATGTGTATAATTTTTGAGAATGTTTTTTTTTTTGTAGGGTCGAAGATGAAGACTCTGGGCAGATACCAATGGCGTATGTGGTAAAAGTATCTTCTTCTCAACTCACTGAGGAACAAGTCATTCAGTTTGTGGCTGCCCAGGTTGCTAAAATCTAGCTAACTCTTTTATCTTCTTTACTCTATCATTTAATCCTAGGGTATGAAATACCACTTTTAAACATATAAAGAAACTTTGAATTGAGATTTCGGGTTTGAGCATCACGTATATAAAGGTGTGTGAGTGTTTAATGTCAAATGATTAAGACGATTTAAACAAATATTGTCTTCTTTTTACCTAGACAAAATAAAAAAAAATCATTACTCCAAACAAATATTTGAAATTCATGACTTTAAACAAAAATATGTAATTGTTTGGTGGCAGGTAGCTCCTTACAAGAAAGTGAGAAGAGTGGAATTTATAGATGCCATCCCAAAGTCAGCAGCTGGAAAAATCTTGAGAAAGCAGCTCATTTCACAAACTCAACGCACGATTCGCTCCAAGTTATAACTTTTATATCTTCTAAAATCTGTACGGTTATTGAAGCGGAACATTGGGGAGTCTTTGTCGGCTTGACCAGTGTTTGGGAGAGGGGCTTTTGCAAAGTTAAAGTTGAGGTTGACAGTCTTCAAGCTTTCCCTCTTCTTCAAACGGATCGGAGTGGTCATGGGTCGTTGTCTATATTGGCTCATATCCATATTCTTGTTCAACGGAATTGATATGTTGATATGTTCGTTTTCGTCACGTTTCTATGAAAGGTATTTGTGTAATTGATCATTTGGCTAGTTTGACGTCGGTTGATGATTTTGGGGTTCATATATTGTTAGTCCTTCACATGATGTCGTGAAGTTATTGCAGGTTGATGATGTAAGGTCGCCTATTTGGTCTTGTTTTACTTTGACTGTCTTCTGTTGTCTCCTTGGGTGTACTATTTTCCTTCATTTAAGATTAGGGAGGTTTTTAATGAGGCACCATAACTCTTCTGGTATATGGTTTCTTCTTTAATCATACCACTTTTGTCAACAACAAAAAAAAAGATGTCAGGTGTATGTGCTTCTAGCATTAGCGTAACACCCTAAAATAGTACGACACAAAATCGACTGATTTGAATGTTATACAGAATCACCAGAGTGGCTAACCAGAAATTTTCTTAATTAAAATGGTTTTCTTGGAAGTGCTCATAATAAATTTAATCAACCACATTTATATAAAATAATTTACATCAGGAGCTCCAAAAAAGAATAGTTCAAAATATACATACCAACATCTTAAATAAATTACGACTCGACAATTACAAGGGTCCATAAGCATACATGCCCCTCTAAAGAAGCGTAAGGAAACAAATTTCAAACACTAAGCTAACTAGTCCAATGCTACACTAACAACTAAATCATATTAAAAGTATTCAGTAGAATGCTTAAGCTATCAAGTCTAGTGCAACAGTGAGTATACTTGTATACTGTACTCTCTACTCTGTGGTAGACATCATGTTCTTGGAGCTCACATGCCCCTCTAGTCTATCGAGGATGACGCTCGGAATCTCTACATCAGACACAACACCCTCAACTAACCCACCCCTTTGGAGCATCGGGCCTCGCACCCTAGTTAGTCAATTTAAAGTTCCTTGTGCACAGCCAAAGGATATTCGAACTGAAACTACATTCTCGATACCAGTATCATTTACTAAAGTAACCCGGGTGTCATGCTTGTTTCCCGAGTATTCAAACAAAGCTAGTTTTATGTTGCCCTAGTTTATCTCATTTCTAGTTGTAATTAATCATTATTGTTATTCTCACTTGTAGTCTTATTTGAGGAAAAATTATAAAGTTCTTGGAAACCTCGTCACATCTTAGCATCTCATTAGATTAGAGCCCAAAAAGAATGCTAGTATCGATACCAAGCACCTCGTCGGTACCAACCCTAGAGTTTCGATACTTCTCATTGGGCATCGATACTTCATAACAAATTTATGCTAAGAAGGTAAAGGTAAAGGGGTAGTATCAATACTCTCACCTCAGTATCGATACTCCCAAGTTATGGTATCAATACTAACCAGGGTATCGATACAAAAATAGCATTTTGGAATTTGATTTACGATCCCGGTATCGATACCAACCCTGTAATATTAATACTCCATTGATAAGTATCGATACTCTCTTTTAAACATAGGCTAATTTTACCCTGATAGAAGAATAATATCGATATTGTTCTTACAATACTGATACCATGTTGAAAAATACCCTACTTGGGCTCGAAATTTACATTCAAACTCACCCATATTCTTATTTTGAGGTTTCCAAACATTATTAATGCTTTATGTGATCACAAAGGGTCATAAATAAGGTTTAACACATGCTAAAAACCTAAAATATAAAACTCTTGTTCTATCTTGCATTTCTAATGACCCACAAAAGGTATGAAAGAGTTGTAAATGTTTTACCTTGCTTCTTTGGCTTCTAAAACTCTCCTCAAAACACTCAAGAGGAAACTCTCTCTTTTCCCTTCGCTCTCGAGCTTTCTCCCACTTCTTTAACTAATTAAAGGAAGAAAAAAAAAGAATTACTAGCTTAACTACTTAGTTGGATTAAGATTAATAGCACTTTCTATAACTTGAATCCACCAAAAACAAATTAGAATCCATAGATTCTCTTGAACCTCCCTACAACACATTTTTAAAAACTAAGGATAAAACTTGAGAAATGGGACTTATATTGAAGCTTTTTATTGAGGATTACCAATCTTACTTAAATGGAAAGATGAGTGTTTGGTGAGATAATAGGGGAGTAGTTTTACGTGAAATCATATATAAAAAAAAGGTGTTTTCATCTTTTAATTCAAGCTATGGGTAAATTGCCTTTTGAATCCCTCTTCTAAACTTTCCTTAAAAAAACTCACCTCACATCTCAAACACCTGGCCCGACTCAAGCCCAAAATCAACATTATTAGGTACAACTATTCTAATAAGTTTATTGGGCTCAGCTTATGGGTTTCAAGTTGACCTGAACTATTAACCCGAGGTTCGAGGCTTTACAATTAGGCTAGAATAAATGGATGAATATTTGAAATTAAATATTTAAGACTAAAAAGTTGTTTTCAAGTTATATTTATATTTCTCCAAAATTATGAATGTTATTATGAAATATATAATTCCTAGAGTTAGTCTAGACATTACAATTGAATCTCATAAATCATATTAATATAAGTTTATGAAATCGTCACTTTTTTTTAAAGATCTTTAACAAACATCATAGTAAGTTGCAATTAAAAAAAGTCAAATAAATTCATAACCAATTGTATAAAAAGTATATATTTTTTGAATTATAAAATAATATTTATTTAAATTTTTTTAGTTTATTGATAATGTACACACACTCTATAGATACGATTATTTGAATTCAAGTCCTTTAAGAAAAACAACATTCTCTTTTATCACTGAAGTCACTTAATGTATTCAAATTCAGTATAATTTAAATATAAAAACCAAGAATCTATAGGATAATACATGAAAAAAAATATAATCCAAAGTCTCGTAATATATAATGTCTCCAAAATCTAACTACATAATAATACCCAAATATAAATAGAGTTTATAATGAAAAAAATTCATAAATAATCATATTGTATGAAAGATAATATGTTACTAGTCGATCCTTCAAGTATCAATCAAAACTTTAAAAATTGGAAAAATCTAAAAAGAGAATAAAAAGGGAGAAGCTAAGGATATTACTGTGTCATCTATTATAACAGGCTTCATCATAGGATCTTAAGTAATCCAATCAAGGTGATATATCACACAACATAGTAATCGAGCAAATTAATGAATCTGACTATCCATCATTTGTATTGTACACCATAGCAAGATATCATACTCCGAATGACATTATTGAACACTGGTATGTATCAAATTGATTACGCTTGCGAAAGAGGATACGTGACACGATACAGGAATATTAGTTATACGTTAATGGAGTGTTTACCTGAAACAGGAGTGTATGCAAAAAATGAATCAATTAACTATAGATACTTGAACAGAGATGGGAGAGTGACACATAAAATCCATTCCAAACCCATAAATTTATTTAAATGACAAAGGGGGCAGAACACACACCTATTTAGTAGTTATAGGTTTTTGGATCGTGAAACGAAGGTCTATTTCTGTCGGTAGTCGATCTAAGTCCAGTAAGAATCAGAGTTAGACTATTTCGTTACGCAAATCAGACTTATTGATACACTCTAACATCAATTACGGGCCCTCAGAAAATTTGGAATATTTCAATCAAACAATAGAAAAAGAAATACGAGTCAAAATCGTGTGAACTATGTTGAAAGTTTGAAATCAATTGCTAAAGTTAAAGATCAACGAATATGAATCATTCAATAGATTGGATACGAATCAAATCAACGGATCAAATACAAATTAATTAACTTGTCAAATGCATGTTAATCAATGGATAAAAATAAATAAGAAAGAGATTTGGTCATGTACCCATAAGCCTCTTTGTTAAGTGATGAAAATTATATATCCAAGTGTAAAAATCATAACATCAAAAGTAGAACACTTAAAGACTCTTGAAAGTTTTAAAATTATCATATTTCTCCTATATATATATATATATTGTAAGTTGGGTCTAGTATATTATTAAAGAAGAATATATGTAGACAAGGACAATGATTAGGTCTCGTTAGAAAACCTCCTTAATCATAGCTGGAGAGAAAAGAGTGCACCAAACTAAAGTCCGAAAAAGGAGAAATACGATACATGTTTCAAGTTCATTTATCCCACACACACAAGTCACATACAACCCCAACAAAACACAAATCAAGACTGTAACATTTAGGAAATCAATCCATTCGTTACTTGCCATCGACAACTACACAAAATCTTGAAAAACATAGCACGTCCCATGAGAAAATCATGCTATCCACCTGGACTGAAGAAATAGCAACGAAACGCCAGCATAGCTACAAACATAGAACAAATAAAACATCCCACAGCCAAAGACCAAGCTGAATCTTGCAGAAATTGACTGAATCAAACTCCGCACAACCAAAGAACCCAGCAGAAGAGACTGAACCCAAAAACACAACAAGACTGATCAAACACCCTACTCCTCACATGAAAATAGTACTAAATGAAAAGAGAAAGCAACATTTAGCACTAAACCAGACAAACTTAAACACGGCCAGAGAGATTAGCTAGAGCAGCAGAGGGTTCAACGCCACAACTTCAATCTGCAGAATGATGGATCCACACAAACGAACCAGGAGCGCAGATGAGGGCCGCTCTCTACTCAAGGAATTATCGAGCATTACACTGATGATCCAGGAAAGATGGAATTAAAATTCATTGATCATAAGCTAAATTATGCTGATGCAGTGGAGATAGATTTGCAAGCAACCCATGTTGGGGCAGTGGAGGTCCCCCTAATCCATTTACGTGGTTTTTATTTTTAATGTTTGAGAATTGGTGCTGAAGATTAGAACAATTAGACTGACCCGATGACCTCCAACTTTAATGCACTA